GTCAGGTCAGAGAAAACCAGAAGTTTTGGAAGCAATCACTGAACATGAATGAGATGTGAAAAAAGTCATCAGTTTGTGCTTCTTTGTATTTATTCCAGTCTGGCTCATCTTTTTAAAATCTTATCTTGTTGTATATGTTATTTTGCTTCAGTCTTGTAACTGAATTTAATGTAACCATTTGAAATTCACTGTTATTTGAACATACAAAATGGCCAATAACAGTCTGGGGAATATCAGAGAATTCTCTGAGGATAGCTTCCTCCTCACCATCCTGCTCGTGAAATCACTTGCCAACTTCTTGACCCCCCTTCCCTCCATCACATCTGTCCCCTTTCTCCATCCACGCTTCCCAGCCTTGTCTACTTGAGCCTCCCTCACCTCGGGCTAGGCAGCAGCTCCCCTCACAGAGGTGGGCGGGCAGGTTGGCCCTCACCCTCTCCTCCCCACGCCGGACCTCCCAGCCGCTGCAGAGCTGGGCTCGTAGAGATTGGCATTTGAGACCCCCCAGGATTTGGCTTCAATCTCTCTTTCCAAACCTCTTTCCCACCCCTGCCTCGAACATATTCTTTCCTCTCGCCAAAATGGACAGCTTGTATGGGAAAAGAAAGGAAAAACCATTAGGCCCTGAATGCAAAACCACAGTTTAAAAAAAAGTTCATGTCTCTCTAAAGTTCGTGATTCTTTTTCTCACCATGTTTCCTGAAATGACTTCCCAGCTGCCTCCCCGCTCTATCTGCAGAATCTCTTCCCCTCAGCCCCCGGTTGTCCCAGCTCTGCTTAGCCGGCCATTCCACCTCCCCAGCCTTGCCAGAGGAATTTATGTCTACTCAGAGTTTCTGCAGCTCCTTATTTTTCCATTTCTTTAGACTTTCATCATTTTATGCCTTGTATTATACTTATTTCTTGTGTATCTTCTCTACCAAGCTCTGAATTCCTTGAAGAAATAAGCCATTTGCCTGTCATTCATTCATTCATTCATTCATTCATTCCACTGACTGTCCAAAATACTGTCTTTCCCTATGCTGTGATAATACCAAGACAAATGAGGCAGGTCCTTGCCTCTAAAAGAGTTCAACTCTCATTAAAAAGTTAAATAAAAAACCCAGTGGTTCTTAGCCTTTTTCGGTCTTTGATCACTTAGAGTGAATGCTTTCATTCACAAGCAAGAGTGTGGGCACAAACTATTATCTAATATGGAGGATGCTTCCAGAGCTTCTGAAGCCACAGGGCAGGTTCAGGATCTCTGGATCTAAGGGAATAGTAAGGAACAGAGCACCTACTGTGTGCTAGTTCTTGTAGAATGGACTTCGCCTCCTCTCAGTCATTGAACTCACCAACCTCCCCTGCCACCTAGAGCAGGATGGCACGGCCAAGGCTCTGGACAATCAAACAGGGGGCTGTCCGAGGGCGTGGTTCGCTTGCCACAGCACTGGACTGCCGATCGGGACACGCGGGGCTTCTCTTCCCTGCCCTGCTGTGGGATGGACAGCTGGAGTGGAGGCTGTTCTCAAGGCAATGACTTTGTGTTTCCCTACAAAACAGTTTCCTATTTTAGGAGTTGTCACTGGAACGGGATGGCCACTGGCCAGCGAGCCTTACTGTGGGGAGGCGACTGTATTTGTGAGTTAAAATGCCACAGGCTTATCTCAGGAGGGCCTCTGTCTGGGTCTCACTGACATTCATGCCTGTGTCTGCTCATGACAGTACCAGAGCAACAGGAACAGGCAAGGAAAGTTGCTCCGACTCACCTTTCCAGAGGGGCTGGGGAAGCGAGGAGAAGAGATGGTTCGGAGGATGGGAAGGAGAGGACCCTAGTCTCCAAGGAGCTGTCTGGAGGTCTCCTTGCTGCGGCCGAGACCCAGGAGTGGTCTTGACTGTGGCCCTCTTGATGCATGTTTGCATGGAAGAACAATCTAGGCTTCTTGGTCACTTTCCCCCCTTTTTTTTCCCCTCCAGCAGATTTGTGGTATCTGGAGGGGAAAAAAAGGAAAACTATTAGGTCTTGAATGTAAAACCACAGGACTTTTTAAAAAAGTGTTTATTTTTCTGCAAAGTTTGTTTTTCTTCCAATGAGAGCCAAGACACTCTCTAACGCCGGCCCCTGCTGGCAGCTGGGAGCAGAGGGAAGATGTGTACGGAAGACATTTGCTGACGGGGGAACAGCGGGCCCAAGTGGAGCAGGGGTCTGATTCGCGGGTCTTCCTGCGAGTGGCTCGTGTGGCAGCAGGAAGTCTTGTCTGAGGACAAAGGACCAAGAAGAGAATGGGACAACATGCTGTCCTTCCCACTGGAAGGACAGCTTTCCAGACTTGGGGGTAAAACTAATGGCTACTAACTCGTTCCGGAATACCTGCTATATGCCAAACACTGGGTTAGGGGCCTTCTTCTTATATCATTTACTCCTCACCACAAACCTGTGAAGCTGTTACTATTATTACCATTTCACAAAGGGAGAAACTGAGGCTAGAGAATATAACTAATGACCCCACAGCAAGTATTAAATAAGCAGTACAGCTGGGATTTGAATTGAGGTCCAGTGTGATTCCCATGGCTTTGCTTTGTTAATGAAATGTCTCTTAAGTGACCTTGGCAAGTTATTTAACCTATTTGTGCCTCAGTTTTCCAACCTGTGAAATGGGAGTAATGGGATTTTTTTTTGAGGATATGATAAGTGTAATACACTTGCGGTAGTGCCTAGCACATAGTCATTATGTAAATGCTACACTTACATTGTTTGCAGGCTTGTGCTTGGCAGCTTAGTGTTGGGGGACAGGAAGGAGAAGGAGATTGGCCCCTGCCATCAGGGGTTGTTCTGTCAGGTCCTGAGTACCAAGGACTTCATGCTGGAGATGTTTGGTCCTGACCTTCATTCACAGATGTGTGTTCCCTGCCCCATATGGGCCAGGCCTTCTGTCATCGCTGAGTTCACAGGGGAGGGTTGTATGTAGTCATTCTCCTGGAGGAGCACACGGCTTGTTGGGGAGAACAGGTGGGTCAGCAGATGATGACAATGCAGTGTGGTCATCGCTGTGATGGGAGGGACACAATATGACCATGTCTGGCCTGTCCTCAGGTCCATACGACACTTTACCTTGGCTCTGGCCAAGGCTGTTTCCTCTTCCTGGAGTGCCCCTCTGCCCCATCTCTCAAGCTGACTCAGCTACCGCAGCCTCCAAAGAGAAGACTCACTCTCCTTCCCGACTCGCTGTCCCCTCTTGGGCATGAGGACACTCCTCTGCTCTCTGTGCTCCCCCTGCTCCTCCTTGCCAGCTAAAGCCTTCAATACAGTTTTGCTCGCACCTGCTTCTGGGTCATTCTAATCACAGTGGGGTCTTGAATGCCTCACATGCGTTCTATGACTCTAATGTGTTCCCCTCAATGAAGGGTTTGCCTTCTGGCTCCGGTGGGAGGAAGCAGGGGTGACTTGGTGGGTGGGAAGGCTTTTGGACCATGGCTACTGTACCAAGCCATGGAGCACATTCCTTGGAAGTAGACAAACAAGATCAGAGACCAAGCTCATCCACTTTCACTGATGCCCTTGAGTGACATTCTGAAATGAATCTCAGCCTCCACATGTATAAAAGGGATAAGAACAGAATCTACTTCACAAGCTTAAGTTCCTTGTCAGGAACTTAAATGAGATAATAAACGCAAAACACTTAGCATACAGTGTCCAGCGCATGGTCAAAGTTCAATAAATGTCCATTGTCGCTGTCAGTTCAATGGCAATGACAATGGCCAACCAATGCTGGCAGGATTGACCCAGTCAACTGGTTTATCTTTTTAAGACTGATTTCCTCACAAAGTGCTACGAGAGCCACTGAGGTGCCATCCTCTTTGCTGGAGAAAAGAGAAATGTGTGTCACTATGTAATAGTCATGTTTTAAATGTCACAGCCCCTGGATGGGGCTCCTCCTCCGAGAAGCTCTCCCTGACCAGCCAGCTGGGCTATTCTCTCTCCTCTTTGGGCTCTCACGGCACGTAGCATCCAAGCTGCCATTTAGCACTTGATTACAGACTGTCTGGTTCGCTCTCTAATTGCTTTCTCTGTGTATGGGCTTGTCAGCTCAGCTAAATCACAAGATCTGTAAGAATAATGATCGCATCTCATTTGTATCTCTCAAAACACCTAGCTCCGTACTTTCTGCATAGTAGGAATTTAATCAGTGATATGTCGATTTGACCTGCCTAAAAATATCGGCTGTTTCACCTGGCACCAGAGACCCGTTCAGAGAGGAAGCATGGATAAAAGACAGAATTCAGAAAAACAGAAATATAAATGGCCTAGGAATAAAGGTTAAACCTGGCTTATGAGAAATCAAAGAAATGTAAATGAAATTGAGATCCAATTTTCCTTATTATAGGCACTCATTTAAAAATTTTAAAAGTGCTGGGGAGGAAGGTGAGGAGGCTCCTGTGAGTGCTGCTGCTGGTGGGAGGGTTTGTGTGATGCTCTCCATGACAGTGTGGAACAATAGCAAGTGTCTAACAGGCCGCACCCTCTGCCCTCAGTTATTCTGTGTTTAGAAATCTTTCCCAGGAAAGACGGAGAGACACAGACAAAGACTTATGTACAAAGGTGTTCATCACATTGTTATTTTCAATAGTGAATTTTGAAAGACGGGTTAAGTAAATTCTAGCACGGGGGCACTATTGGGGCAGTAAGATGAGGTTTTTATTTGAAAAGACGTCAACTCCTTTCTCATTGTGAAAGCAATGAAAATTAAAATAGAACTATTTTTAACTACTGAATTAAAAGGAGTAAAAATTTTGATCAAATGCAAACTAGAAAAGCTGGCACTTTGATATACTGTTGAGATAGTCATCAATGACAATTTTGCAAGAGCAAAATTGTAAAAAAAATTGTGCAAATTAAAGAAATGCACATAACTTTTGACCTAAAAATTGCACCTCTAAGAATCTAATTCATAGATATGCCCACACATATATACACAGAAAATGCACAAGGTTATTTATTGTGACATTGTCTTTAATGGCAGAAGAAGAAGAACAAGAAGAAGAAGAAGAAGAAGAAGAAGAAGAAGAAGAAGAAGAAGAAGAAGAAGAAGAAGAAGAAGAAGGAGAAGAAGGAGAAATGCAAATCAGTGGAAGACTAAAGAATGAGGTAGCTCTTATTTTTAAAGTTATTTCTTTGAAGAATTTTTAGTGACATGGAAAAACATATAACACGATGTTTTGTGTTAGAAAAACATATGACACTAAAAATACTTAGTGTCACTTATAAATGACACTAAAAGAAAAAAGTTCAAAATTGCATAGTGGTTCTAATTTCCTATTTGTGAAAACCAACCAGCCACAGGCTCCCAAACTACACTTCGCGTGGGGTAGAGAGACTGGGAAAGTGTCTACGGAGTGTTGGTCATAGGTGTTTCTGAGTGGTGAGATAGCGAGTGATTTTAAAATGGTCTCCTTTGTACTCTTCATATTTTACGAACATTTTACAAGGAGCTGTATTGCTTTTACAGAGAGAGAGAAAGAGAGAGAGAGAACATTTCTGAAAGAAAACATGAATGAATTACACCTTCAGTGGCTCTTCATGGTGCTCTAACAGCAATGGTGCTCTACTCTCAAACACGCGCTGTTAAGGGGTGTGGTGACTAACTCTGTTTGAATATGAGGAAACTGAGGCACAAAGAACCTTGGTTCCCAAGGCTCCTCCCTGAATGACCTCACCGTGTCCTCACCTTCTTAGTCCATAAAGTATAAACTTGACCTGAAGCTGCCCACATTCCAGCCTCACTTTGGGCCACTTTGCTCCTTCCCCTTATATCACAGGGACACCATCTCCCAAGACCGGCAGCACTGACACCACCCTAGCCCTGAGGACAGGCTGTTCTCACTATGGTACCTGGCTCACATGTCTTCATTCTTTAATACCCAACCCCGATGCCACCTGCTGTGAGGAGCCCTCCCGAACCTCCTTAGGTTGGTCAGGTGCCTCTCCTGGCTCCTAAGCCCCTATGCTGAATTTCTCCTGCACTTAACTCTCTTTTAAACTGTCGTCATCATCATCGTTGTCTTCTTCTTCATCAGTGTTGTTGCTGTTTTGTTTAAAGTATTCCCTTTCATCCAGCTACGAGTTGTGAGTGAAAAGCCTGTGAACTGGATTAGGTTGCAGATGCTCATCCTGCATAGTATAACATAGTGTAAAAAGAACTAAACTGTCCACATTTAAACATTGGGAGATCTTGCAAAGATATCCTGAGTTTTGGCTTCTCTTTAAAACTCTATCTGGCAACACCAGGCACACATTGCTGCATGAGAGTCTTTAGAAGGAGCTGATAGAGGCTGTTCTGTTTGGGCAATTCAGTTTGCCATCCTCTCCACTACGCCCTGTTGCCTCATATCAGCCAGTTTCCCTTCTTTACTCATCGGCCTAACTCCTGAGATAGACTCTTTATGAGTAGTTCCTCAGTGAGTTTTTGCTGCGTTACACCACCCAAACCTTACTGTCCATTTACTATCTCGCTATTCCATGAGCCAGCACTTGGGTCTGGGCTCTTCTGAGTGGTTCCCGTGCCGGTGTCAGCAGTCTGGCTGGCTGTTGGCAGTGTTAATTAGATGACATGATTGTCATCATCCCCTAGGCAAGCCTGGTGTGGCAGAGGGTTTCCAAGAGCAGGAGGTGGTCAGGTCTCATGATCCAAGTGCTTCCCAAGACGTGTGCTTTAATGTCATGGGTAATAAAGTGAGTCACAGGGGTAGTCCAGAGTCAAGGGGTAGAGAAACAGATTTCATACTCTGATTGGAAGAGCCGCAGAGTGACATTGCAAAGACTCAGGTAGGCAGAGGTGAGAATTCGTGGTCATTTTTGCAATTTACCACAGGCAGAGGCCTTGTCATGCTTGTCCATCACTCACAGCAAAAAACACAGGGTCTGACCTATGGGAGGATTAATCAGTAAACGTTTGTTTAATTAAATGAAAATGAATGCAAATGAGCCTATTTACCTCTGGCTCTGAAATCTCTTCTCACAGAAGAGATTACCTTGCATCCTCCTGTGCTGAGGTGAAGCAGGGAGGGTGGGACCTCTCAGGACCCCAAAACAAAGGTCCAGTTAGGGCATGCTTTGGGTTAAGGCACCATGCCAGACTGAGTTGTCTGCAGTGAAAAGGTCTTGTATCTGTGGCCACTCTAAACAAAACGCCAATGAAGCCACAGCCAAAATGCTGGTTTATTGGAATGGTCCCCTGTGGTTTTAAAATTGTGGTGAGGAGATCATCTAATGATCTTAGTTTTGATGGGGGCTCGGTGTGTGTGGGTGGGGAGTGGGAGAGTCCTCTTGCTAATTGGGGTTGTGCCTGCCATGCAGTCCTGCCCTTGCCTTTGGCATGGCCTGTGGCCCTCAGCTGAGATGACAGCCACCCTCAAGGCAAAGCTGGAGACAGAGGCATGGACGATGATGGAATTGCTCAGCCCTGGTGATACAGGGTGACTTGGATTCTTGCCCATGAGGCTCCCAAGCCCTGGGCCAGTGAGTTCTCATTTCAGCTCAGTCACTGCCCTGCTATTCCTCTGACTTCAGATGCCTGCAATAACCTGCAGTAACATGGGAGGCTGTGGGTGCAGTGCAGTGCTCCCTATGTGACCTTCGGATGCTGAGATTCAGAGGGCTTGTACACATGCACTTGTGCATATTCGCCCAGTCCCAGGATACTCACTCACAGACCCAGTTACATCCCCACTTTCTTTCCGGCTTTCTTATTTGCTCCCATAACTTCAGTTACTCACCTCCTTCAAGCCTTTGCTCAAATATCACCTTCTCAGTGAGACCTATCCTCTCCATCCTGTTTAAATCCATAATCTACTCCCCTCTATACCATTCCCCCTCACCCTAATCGACTTTTTCTTTTTTATCATACCTGTAATCTTTTAGTATACCACATAATTCATTTATGTATTGTTTGTTGTTAATGTGTGTCTCCCTCTCCCAGAATCTCCCTCTCCCTCTCTCTACAAGTACCACTGGGTAGAGATCTTTGATTTGCTGATATATTAGTACCTGGTACTTCAGTAAATAGAACAAATGTGATGAGTGAATTCATAAACCTTTGTGACAGTAACTCCCCCATCCACACCTCCAGCTCACTCCTGTGGGTTGAGGTCCACATCCATCTATTTAATTGACCACTAGTTCTGCATAAGGTCTGAAGCAGGATCTTATTGGGCTCACTGTCTTCTTTCTGGTGGTGGTTTTTACTCCCATTCTATAGGGGTGGAAACTGAGGCCCAGTGATGGCGAACAGGGCTTGTCTAAGGTCATATGACTACTTCACTATGAATCACCCCTACATGCGATGACATTTTGGGGCTCTTCTGAAGTGAGCAGGATCCCCCTGATTCACCTGCTTGGACCACTGTTCTTTCTACAGGTCAGGGAGAGAGAGACACTCAGAGGAAATGATCCCAGCCAAAATAGAGTGGGCCAGGCCAGATCCAGTGACATCAGTCATAAGAAAAAAGAGTAGCTTCTTTGGGTGTGCCTGACATTCTTCCACCTTCTAATGGGAAGAACACTCCCTCTTCCTACAGGGAAACTGCTCCTCTTCCATTACATGAAAAAGGTGTTACCAGGCAGAATACTCTCTTCCCTCTGTGAATAGAGTCTTTTACAATAACCCGTGTCTTTGAGCACAGTGATTGGCTCAGGGATGGGCACATGACAAAGCTAGACCAATTAAATTCTTTCTTGAGATTTTAATATGTGGACCCTAGAAAAGCCAAAGTGTGGAATCCCTAAAATATAAGAGTAGAGCTAAGGTCACCCCTTCCCAATCCCTCTACTCTCTGACTTCAAGTTCTGAAGGACAAGTTCTGAAGGACACCTGTAGAGACAGGAAGACCATCTAGAGTAGGACATAGTGAGGTACAGAGTGAGAACAAATGGGAGCAAGAGTGACAGCAGGTATATGTACATGAGTAATCTGACACCATCTTTTGGGTCCTTGGAGTTTCTGATTCTAGTGCTACTCCTGGACTTTCTAACAAAGTGAGTCAATAAGTTCTCTTTTTGGCTTAATTAGTTTAAGTAGGGTTACTGTTACTGCAACTGAGAGTGCCCTACAAAATGCCCAAGGTCAGGTTGGACGGAAATCAACAAAGGAAACTCAACCCAGTGAATCCAAACAAACAAAACTAAACTGGTACAATCCAACCAACTGGTACAATCCAATCCCAATGCAAATAAACCCCACACCAATGCAACCTAATGAGGCTTTTGAGCCAGTGTAGCACTGAAGGAGCTCTGGCTTCTCATCAGAAGGTCCAGAGTCCAGGCTTGTTTCTGGGCCACGAATGGGCCTTGGATGTGCTGCTCTCCTTCCATGGAGCCTGAATCACCTGCCACATGAAGTATATATATACCTGATCTGAGAGTATCCAATGAGGAAATAGAGAGGGGAAAAATGAACAAAGTTGAATGGGTTCCCCAGCCTTGATGATGTTCCCAAAGTCCTTTTCCTCATAATAAGTCTCCTTACCATTCCCTAAATTAAGGACTTCCAAGTACCCCCTGCAGAAGAAGGCCAAGAAAACCTCAGGTTGAGTTCTGCCTAAGCTGTGGCTGAAGGCAGCATGGGGGAGCTCTGGGCACGGGCTCCTCTGAAGCAGATCAGCCTGTGTTTGTGTCTTGATTCCAACCCTTCTTAGCTGAGTGAACTTGGGCATGCTACTTACCCTCTACAAGCTTCTGTTCCTTAACGTGTAAAATGGAGCTGATCATTGTAACTACTTCCTAGGACTCTAAAGATTTGATGAGATGATACTCCTGGTGCTGTCTGACAATAGAAAGTGCTCAGTAAATGTTTTTCACTATCATGATTACTGCTGGCATGTATACAGCATCTTGCATTTATTTCCTAAAGTGAATATACATGCATAATTTTACTTAATGCCATCATTGCTCATGTGAGAGAGAAATTCAAGTCCCGTTATATGCAGGAGGACTTTGAGATTCAGAGACACAAAGGGACTTATCCCAGGTCACAGGGTTGGCAATGACAGAGCCCAGAGCCAAACCCGGGGCATATATCATAGCACAGCTCTAACCAACATTTGCTTCTGCAGATTTCTGTTTTTCCAGAACTGAAAGAGGCAGGGTTCTGT